TGAAATGCCACTCTTAAGAAAAAAATCCCGTTGAAGTATGTGAAGAAGAAAAATGCTTAGAAAGGTAGTTCTGAGACCTAAAAAAATGCTATCCCCATATTATAACAGAGTTTAATATGTTTAATGGTTTTCCTATTTTTACATTTGTATTCTTAATGTTGTAAAGCGCTACATAAGTAAATGATTGATTGATTGATTGATTGTCTGGCAGCTGTACAGCTAAAACATCTCAAAAATTAATCCACATTTGATCTTTCTTAGAGACCATGTCATACAGGTTACCATGGAGCTCTGCATGGATTTTAGCCCCTCTTCTCTAAGCATGTTCCTCATATATGTATCAAATTCAACTATAGCTTTGGGAGAATACCTGCCGAAGCTATATTACCATGCGATCATATTCCTAGCCACATTACTTTTTTAAGTCCTATAACAAGAAAATCCAAAGCCAGGAATGAGTCAGGAACTAAGGAATGTCATCTTAAAACAACAGTTATTTAAGTACTTTGTGGTCATCATTGTTCAGATAACTCCTCAACACACCTTGGAGCCGGTCCTACGGTTGCTCCATCTAGGTGATCAGTGTCAAAGGCTGATGAACACAGAAGCAGGTCAACATTGATATAAAATAGTCCTGAAAGCCACACAGTATACATAATATTTATGTGATTCAATCAATAGTAATCTATTCAATTAATCAACTTTCCTCTTATTAAAGAAATATTATTTATGTGATTCTTCTGTATCAAGTCTGCATATAACTGTACACAACTGCTCAACTATTTGGTATGGAAATAGATTCATAGTCTACTCCAGCAAGTGGATGGATGGATGGATGGATGGATGGAGCTCCCTCATTATCACAGGAAGTTAGATTATCTGGCTTGTTTACTATTAGCATCAAGCTGCTATATGGACTTGATACACAACAATTTGTACTTCAAAAGGTGATAGAAATGGAGATAAGGATCATAAGCTCTGGTTTTCAGTGATGGTCATTGATCAGCAAGCTTTGTTCCCAAATTAGGTCAATAAAAAGTCTATGAACAACTGGTATGTCGAACATTCTCATTGAAGAGATACAGGGCTATCCAGGTTAGGGGTTAGAAATGTGTTTTCTTATTCAGCTTTTCAATTGTACAAACTGATTACCTGACAGTCACACTAGAATTCGATCAATTTCTACTATGATTTATTTTAGCCAGTTGAATCTGCGAAAGTCCCTTATTGTGGTGGAGGGGTTTGGGTGCCTCCATGATCCTAGGAGTTACGCTGTGGGGGTAATTGTCCCTGGTGGGGTCTCCCAAGGCCAATTGGTCCTAGGTGACCGTCCAGACTAAATAATCACAAAGGGCAAATATTTAAAGTCCAATGTTGGAAACTATTTCAACAGAATTGCTCTGGATCGAGTAATACAATGTAAACATTAAAAACAGAATAGCACAGCTAACAAGGACATTAATGTAATAATATAGAAAACTACTCCATTGGGCATAATAAAATTCTGTTCTGTTCCTGTCCCCCTATGTCACATGGTCCTTTGACCCATCCAAGCTTTCCACACTGCGATTACAATGCATACAGAAAGTCTTGGGTCATTTTGTTAATTCAGTAAAAATATTGCAAATTTATTGATTTTCTAACAATCATCACTTGTAAAAATATTTATATATACCACATTCGAAACAACCAGTAGTTTTAAGTAAAACATTAATTTCAAGTAGTAATAAATTGAAACCCAAATTATAGTTCTAAAAGAGCTGTTCTCATTTAAAGAGTTCATTGACAAGCACCATTGGCTGCTTTTCAATTAGTGACACCTTTGCAATAACATAAAACAGCAGACATTTGTGTTTAGTGTCTCTTTGGGAGCCAATGACCACAACTGCGACAAATAGCCAAATGGATTAAAAAAAAACAACTAAATGAGTCAGTCGAAAAATTATAAGACTTCATAACAAAAATGTCTGAAGTTATGTGCAGATATGTCAAAGATTGCATGTCAATGGACTTTTGTTATGAAACCATTCAAATTTGCTGCATTTTTACACAATTAAGGAAGCATCCCAAGACTTCCTGTGAGCACTGTATATCATTTAATGCTACATCATTTCGGTGTTTTCAGAAGGGTTTTAAGACCTTGTTCAACAGAGGAAGGTGTTTTATTTTCCATTCGATAAAAAATTAAACATCTATCTTCAAAGCTTAATATGTCATTCATTTCTTATGAGTGTGCATGCTTTGTACTAGGAAGGCCACAGTTACTGACTGGCATTGTAACCAACCAAAACATTTCCTCATCTTGAAATTCCCTGATTTCTCATACGGTAGCAAGTCTTGCAAGCCACTGCCACAGCCCAGCACAGGAACAGGATAAACTGGTCTGGTCTTCACCAAGCAGAATATTACTGGAGGTGTACAGACAACTGCTTTCAGCCTGGGCCACACCAAGTAAGAAAGCTGAGGGGTGTATACAGGCAATGCTACTAGCATGAACTGTAGCGAGTGTAATGGTATAATGCGAGTAGAGGGTATAAAGGCAGGAAATCGATTTGGACTGTACCAATCAGATCAAGGGAAAGGGGGTGTGCACCTTACCTAACTGAGCTGCAGGACTTACCCATCTTTGGATACAGCACCTTTGCACACTGACCTGCAGGTCTTACCTGTTTTTAGTCACCTTTACCTTCTTTGTGGGCACAGTAATAAATGGCATCACTTTTTATTTCATATGTCTTTGGTCTGAGCAGGACCCTGAGGGCTCATAAGCAAATTAAAGGCAAAGATTACAGATGCGGATTGTTTACATGGGACCTGCTTCCTTATGTGATTTGTGTCCTTCTGTTGTTGTCAGTTCCTTTCCTGGACATTATTGTTCAACACTGCAGCAGAATGATATTCAGTGAGGTCCGATGCAGACATTGGATAAGTCTGGTGATGAGATGTTCTTCAAAAATGTATAAGGAGCAGTATTTGTCAAAGGCTAGGCTTACAGTTATCATAAGCCACTCACACGTGTTTGCTTAGTTTTTCCACAACCAATCAGACTTGGAGAGTTTGTTTATAGAGATATTTAGCTAATTTCCCCAACCAATAGTTTTACCCATAGCAACTTTAAATCTTTTATAGTACCCAGCTGACAGCAGGACACGTTACAGAACCTGATCTGGCGACTTCCTATCTCACATTCCATGTCCTTAAACAGCATGCTGGGGACCTTTGACACCCAAATGCTAGCCCATTTGTGGCTTTCGCTCTGCGACTTTGAGAAACGGCAGCACCTCTGGAGCTATTAACTTTGGAGCATTCAGAAATACTTTTTATCTCAGTTGAATGAGTAATAAATGTCTCAGTATGTAACACCGTAGCTGCATATCCTGTGCTTTTGTTCAAAAAACATAAAGTAAGGTGAACTGGTGTCTCTAGATTGTTCAGAGTTTGTGAGTATGTGCCCTATTATGGGCTGGTATTCTATCCAGGGCGTCCTCTACCTCTGCCTGATGCTTCCAATAGACTCCTGGCCCAATACGAGCTTGTACTCAATATTGGTTATTTCTTTAAGGTAAGCCTGAAATCTTCACCCAGAGCAAATTATGTGCAAGTGGAAAGTACTGTAACAACCAGAGTTGTACAGTAGTGAGAGACCTAACCAGCTTAATCTATGACCTTTGCCCATGGTTCACGGTACAATGAACACCAAAGGAGAAGAACATGAACAAGCATTTTATTTAAGACCCAACTGCAAAACATCATGCTTTTGTGGTGTTAAGCACTGTAGCTCATTGCCTCTTTTGGGAACTGGCAATGTAAGAATTAATGTTTGTCCATTTGTGACATTTGCTTAGTTCAATCTATTGTCAGTGTTCTAGCAATGTGTTATTAACTTAATATAATGTGGAATAATTTTTTTGAATAACATTCCATCTGTTTGATATGTATTAGATTATTACTGATCACAATAATCAAATATCCATAACAGGTAATTAACAGGATCTCATAAGTGTGCAAACTAATAAGATTATCATGTCAATTCTCCTTTTCTTTTTCTTAATAAAAACCATTGTTTTTATTAAGATGTCCAAGCTAGTTTATAATAGCTTAAATTAGTGTCCTCTTGCTAAAATTCCATCAAATGTGAAGTATGGCACTATGCTCATTATTGATGTTGGCACTTCATGTATATCACTTGTCTTGTATATAATATGTACATGGCTTGTATATTGTATATTCTCTGTAATTATATGTTCAATGTTTGTCTAACTTGAAAGACACCATCTGCCGGAACCAAATTCCTTGTGTGAATTAATGTAAATCTGATTTTGATTCACGTATAACTAAAGTAAGATATATTTAGAACTTTCATAGAAAGCAGGATATATTAATGCTAGCTAGTACTGATATTACATGTATACATATGTACTTATGTAAACTGTTGTATTTTGCTCACCAAGCATTTTTAAGTTTAATTTTTAGGCTTTTTAAAAATATAATCAGCAACTCTTGCCACACAACTGATGCTCATGTCTGCTACACCAAGGCACGTGGAGGAAAATCACATCCATGCAAATAGTGTTGGTGCAAGCCAAGGGCGTGGGCATATTCTCGGTATTGGTAGGGACCAAATCAGCTCCGAACCCCCGCCCCTCTAAACACACATGGTACTCCCAGAAATATAGGTAGGAACATGTCCCTACGGTCCATACCCAGATCTACGCCCTTGGAGCGACCGGACCGACATTACCGGTTTCCCAAATGGAGACTGGTTACCATGGTGACGTTTGTTGCTCTACAAACGGCAAGTCTCCTCCAACTTTTTCCTACCGTCATGCCTGTACTCTGCAGGCTCATGGCTTTATTTTAAAAATCATGAATGTATATATAGTCTACATTTGATCTGTTGAACACATAAGTGCTCTTGGATCCGTGGTGCGTTTATTAATGGAGACGTCCTATTGCTAAATAATGAATCAATAGGAACGCAGCCAAAAAAAAAAAAACCTTTTTTTTTTCCCTTGGTTTAAGTCATTGTTTAAGTCCATGCTGGAATGCGCTCGCTGCGACGGACACCATGACTAATAAAGTTCTTAAGATGTGACGTTCGAGGCTCACGAAGCACAAAGGGAAGCGCCTCCATAGAGGGGCGGAGGTGCGCCGCGGCCGCAGAGTTTGTTTACCTCACCTGCCGAAGTGCGACAGGGAGGGGACGGAGGAGGTGGCCATTTTATCAACCTTTTCCTGGACAAAGTTAAGAAGCCAAGGCAGATCATATACAGTACCTGCCTGCGGTCTACAAGTTGGCAACTTTGGTCTCTGCTTTTACATCGGAGCATCCTCAACATGGTGGCGTAATAGCATAACTATCCGCCCGGAATAAAAAAGTTCACAATGAAGAAAGGACATCTTAATTTTCTGGGTAAGAAGAACCAGTCACTCTTCGACTCCAAAATTACAGCTAAGGAGACAGGTGAGTGTGATCATTGACAAGCTGACAGCTTGACATTTTTTATTATTGATTATCAGTAATAAAACGGTGATTTGTAAAGAGAATACAGAGTATTTTTTCTTATTTTATAACCGAAAGGGAATGTCCTGTGACAAGGACACTTGAACTTTGTACTTGAAGGACTTATCAATGCGGTGTCAAATTACTACTAATGTTATTACAGTATATTGGCCGATGAAATCCAGCAAATTTAGTTGTATGGACTGGAAAAAAAACAATGATTTCAGTATTAAAATAATACTAGGAGCCTATAACAGAAATGCAGTTAATGACGGGTTCAAATGCAGTAAATACAGTATCACGAACTTAATGCTGGAAATCGCGTTACGTTTTTAAGTAGCACCGTAGTATTTTGCGGACAGGTAATTCACGGTAAAGACTCAGTTTTTGAGCAGGACGTTGTGCAACCTTAATGTGATCAGAAATACGCAGCTTGTTGACGTGTCCCAGGGAGCGATGTAATTATAGTGTCGAAGGAAGTGTGGGAAGGTATAGCGAGGTCACCGGGGTTCCCCACCTTTCCTTTGGCAGTAATTCACAGCGCTGCCATTCATGGAGACAGTTTAAAATCTGCGGTGATTGGTTTTCCTATGAAAACATGCGATCACATAGTCTTAAAGGTATAAAATTTGTAAAATATTACTAAATCTGTTGCCTTGTACCGAGGTGACTATTTTAATAAGAGCATTAAACATAATTACTCTTTTATTTTTTTTGAAGGTAAAATACAAAAGAAAGGATTAATTAGGGCAAACCGGTATCACCTGCATGAAACAACGTGTTGATGATGACGATAATGATGATGATGGTGATGATGAATGTTGTATTGGTTATTGAATGCTATAGCCAAATTTATGTAAATTGTGATTTAAAAAGAAACAAAAATCATATCTATAGCTCAATCATATCTTTGATTACAATTCATATTGTGTGTAGTGTGTATTGGACCCCAAAATGCAGTGGAGGGCTATATGCTAACTGGTGTTTTTTTTTTTCTCGCTCTCCCCATTAGAAAATGTTTATTTTTCGTTGGACACCTCATCAGTCCCTGAATCAGGCACAGCAAAAGTGCGAGCCAGACCAAGAGTGAAACACTACGCTGTAAGTCTATATACACAGGCTATAATGTGACTGGTTATTCTACCTGCCAACAATTTTGGTTCCATTCTTTTAAATTAATGTTCCACAAAAAATCCATCGCAACATTGTAGTCAATGAAAAGCTTATTAATGCAGGAGTTCTTCCTGAAATCAATGAGCTGTGAGTTTCCTGTTGTGTGACATTGGGAAAGTCCGATCTGCAGCTGCCATTGGTTCTTTGCAGCTACATACTCTTAGACATTTGTGGAAACATGCAAACTTGCTTTTAAATCGCCATGATGATTCCAGGTTTGGTGGGATAGGGGCAGTTGTAGACTGGTGGGGGAGAAACTGGGTGACTGGTATTGACGAGTGAGGCCAACCGGTGAGGGAACTGAGAGGTCCATCGTGTGTTCCGGTTGGATTGTAATGTTTCCATATTAGAGCAGGTGCTTGTAAAATGTGACATGATGCAGTTCTGCAGCTCTCATGCTTTGATGTGTATAACTTCTACACTGGCCACCATGCACTCTGTTGACGCAATGTTAGAGTTGGGTTAGTTAGAGTCACTGGGCTGTCAACAGCCCAAAAAGGAAAAAGGAAATCATGTGCACTTGACCTAGATGGTGGTTGTACAGTCCAGGTGCTTGGGTACTTATGATGCCTAAACAGGTGACCAGCGTTGTGGGCTGATCAGAGCTGTGGCCTGTACTACAAAGTGGGGTAACCTGTCAGATTTAAGGTAGTCTGGGCAAAATGTAAGTGAACGAATATGAAGTCCATTTAAACTGTGGTACCTTAAATCCGACAAGTTAGCCCGATAAGCCAGTAACCCCGCTTCGTAGTACAGGCCACAGAACCCTGCGAGTGAGGCTCGAATCCCATTGTGCCCATAACATTTCCTGGCATTTCCCGTACGTTTAGCATGGTTGAAATGTTCTGATCAGGTTTTGGGGTATATGGTTCTGGAAAAGACACCAAGGCATTCCCAGATCCCTGAGGAGGGGGAGGGGTGACACCAAACGCATTCATGCACGCCAACACGCAATCCCTTTGTTCCCATAGACACGAGTGCAAGTACACACAAACAAATCCTCCCCATGTACTGACATTCCAGGGCTTCCCCACCTTGGCCGTTTTGGGCAGAGGTGTGGGTGGAGCCTGCGAGTCAGACTTATGGCAGGTCACTGGGGATGAGCTTTGTGTTGCCTGGGAAACCGTCCCGGTGTGGAGACTGCTGTGTGAATCAGCCAAGGGCGTTGGCTATAGGCTGTCAGGCTGCCCTGAGAAATCCTGCGTAAAGTGTGAGCTAATTTGGCAAGAATGATCTCACAGCAGCACGTCACTTTTTCCATTTTTTTTCTAAATTAGACTTTATATCTACTATGAAATAGAATAAATTGGTAGCACATAGAGCCAGTAATCCCCCTCTCCTCATTGTTTACTTCATAACATTTGTGCTTCTGATTGCTTGCTCATGATACACAGAACCGTGCAGTAGTTGCATGATCCAGAAGTGCTGCTGTCCCTAACCCCTTGTGGGAAATCCGCCTGTTCATTTATTAACTCAGCCTCAGGCACAGCTGTTTAATTATTACCCAGGCCTCTTGCACAGGGTTGGGCCACCAAGCTGACTGACCTACTCTTCTGTTCCCCAGTCTTCCTCTGACCTCCTGCAAGGCTTGGCTGTCCCAACACCCAAGGTGCCCATCTTGCCACCCGTCAATGGCCTACAGACATTTGGGGAAGGTAAAGCCCCCTCCCATTCAGAATTACCTGGTGTTGCCAATGCGTTACATTTTATCAGCTGTAACTTCAAAGTGCAGTTTTCTCCAGAGAGACCTCAGGTGGTCTGTGCAATATAAAAATTCTGCCATCTACTGATTTTGGTATTGCCTTCACTAACTGACCCTTGAAATCACTGAAAGCCTGGAGTTCTTGTTATAAGGCATTAACCGACCCACTTAAATCAAATCAATGTTGTTAAAAGTACTTGTCTGATTTGGCAGAATTGGCACAACATTTGCCTACTTTCTCCACCAAATAAAAAGAAGGTGTTGTTTTTTTAGAAATGGACTTTAGAACATTGCATAAGCTGAAAGTGGTTTTGGCTTCACATCCTTGCCTTGGGTTTCTCAACATTGACTGACCTGCCTGACACCAATGAACAAAAAATCCTCCACTAATAAAGCATGTTTCACTCGGCTTGTTGTTTAAGAGAACTTCCAGTTCCTGTCAATCATCCCTCTTATGTTTGCTTGTACCTGTTTGTTCCTCACAGTGAACAGACAGAAATTTGGAAGCAGATTCTCTCTGGCTGTGCCTGACCCAGTGGAAGGAGAGATCTTCATTCCGCCGCCACCCTCTGTGGCTCCTCCACCACCCCCCCCACAGTCCATCCCACCTCCACCAGAGTTTTCACTCAACCCAACCCCCCCTTCTAAGTCGCTCCAGCTGGCTTCCATACAGCCCCCACCCTTGCCTCCTCCAAAGCCCCCGGTCCAAATCACCATGAAAGATGAAGACCTGGCTTCTCTCAGACCACCATCAATGCCAGCTCCCAAGGCTCCCTCCAGCTCACCTGGTTTCAGCCTCTCAGGGCCTAGGCTGTCCAATCCACCAAATGACCTGGAGGTACCAGAGCATCCTAAATTTGCTCCTCCACAACCCCCAACGTACTCCGTAGAGCAACTTCAGATGATCAATCTCAGGACTCCGAAAGTTCCACCTCCAAAGCCAACGAGGTTCTCCTCCATGCCCAGTCAGGATGGACTGCCTTCATTTATGGCACCGCCTCCTCCATCCCCTGCACCAACACCATCCAGCTTCAACCCACAGAACATGGCAAAGGTCAACAGTTCACCCAAATCTACCCTGCTCAATAGGCAGATGAGCCGTGAAAGAAAAGCTCAATCTATGGTTATTCTACAAGATATTACTGATGGTATACCTTTGCAGCAAGAAGTAAAGCATCCAAAGGATGTTCCGACAAAGTCAGCTGTACCTCCGTCGAAGCCAGCTCGAAGGAACAGCTCTGGAACCCAGCTGGAGAATGATATTAAGAACTACAGTTCGCAAGCAACTCTTCCTAGTCAGGCCAAGATTAATGCATTAAGCTCCAAATCCATGGAAACAACGGAAAACCATAACCCACTCACACCTCCTTCCCCAAAAGCTTCTCCCAAGCTACGAAGGACTAGTTTAACCTTGCCAAATGTAGAATCAAGTTATGTGAAGCCAGCTTTGTCTTCAGAGAGAGGCAGTAAGCATGGCCCTTATAGCCATATGCCTCAAAACAATATGTCCAGTAGAGGTAGTGTGTCACCAATGGCTCTTCTGATGGCTGCCAAAGAGCGAGAAAAGCAAAGGACATCCCTGACCAGGGGGAACAGCTCCAGTGAACCATCCACACCAGTGAATATGCTCCCCAGTGAGTCCAGGCCTAATTCTTTCACAGTTGTCCCTAGGTTCACTTCATCTTCAGGTCTGACAGATCGAGAAAACTCAGACCAGGGTCTCCTTCCTGGTGACCAAAACTCAAGTTCGAAAAAACAAATGACTGCTCAGCCTCATACGACCCCCCCACACTTAAAATTACCAGACAAGAAAACAACTCCTAGCGTACCTTTCCCCAGCTGCATCAGGGATGAGGAAAGTGGTGAAGATTTATGTGCAGCCTTCATCCCTCCTCCTCCAGAATTTGCCAATGAAGATGATGAGGAACAGGGGGGCGACCTGGTCCATGTTGAAGAACCTTCAAAGCCGATCCAGTCTGACACTTCAACAGGGATAACCAGCCATCTGGCCCCGACGTCTTCAGTTATCTTAGACCACCATAACAATGGTCCCGTCCTGAACCTTAACCCTTCATCCCAAAAGATCAGCCAACCTCCTCCAACACCACCACCTCTCCCAGTGTCATTCAGCAAAGGGCCTCCCCCTCCCCCAAAGCCAAAACCAGGAAAAGGACCAAAGCCCCCAAGCTCCCCTGTTGCAAAATCCAATGTTTTGACCAAACCTCCACCTCAAGTTTCCCTGAAGACGGGCTCTGCTCCCCTCTCCACAAGCCAGGCCACTCTCCTAAGCATCCTACAGAAAAAGATGCTGGAAATGGACCTGAAGCATGTGCTCCCTCAGTCGGACAATAACAACGAGGACTGGGGAACACATCTGTCCGACGAGGAGGGTGGGGTTCCCTTGTCACCGAAGCAGACCCCTGCCATAAGCCCTCAAGCCCCGCCTCCGAAGACCCAGAGCCTGGATTTGGGAGAGTTGGAAAGCCAAGTGGCTAAGAGAGCTTTAACTGCATCTACAAAACCTACCTCCAGGTACCACACCCTCTACCCTTACTGCAACCCTATTACCAGTATTGCTCCCATCGCAGGGGCATCAAACTAATTTCCGAGCAGTCGACGTGTTAGCAGGATTTCAGCCAGTCGCAGGTACTTTGTCTTCTGTTAAAAAATCACAATGCTTCTGTCCTGTTTTTTCCAGTGACGGGCCACAGTCGAAGCATCCTGCTGGCATGACCTTTGCCGTGCGACCTGGAAGCAAACAGCCCATCACACTGATCAGCAAAAACAATTAACTCTGAGACGACGTAGGATCATTCTGGACAGGAGCCTTTGCTCATATCATCTGCACTCCTGCTCTAAGAAACGATATTTGTTATCCACGCAAGACTTTGATTATAAGGTCACTGTAAATAATTCCATAAGTCTAAACAGTTAGCTGTATGTTTCTGTACATAAAACTGGAGTTGCAAGGGAATGGTTTCCATTGCAGGTACAAACTATATATTTATGCATGACCTATAAGCTGTTAAATGTAAGCTTTTTTGTGTGGAAATGGCTGTATTGCCATTGGCTGTCTATACCTACAAATCAGAAAAAGGCTACAGACCAGGTCAAATACTGCTATACTATAACTGGAATACATCTGATGCTCAGCATATGAGATTCAGTCCGGGAAGAGCAGTTACTACACGCAGCTTTTGGAAATGGACTTTATGCACTACAGTGGAGTATTTTTTTGGGGACACTGACAAGTTTAAACGAAACACAATGAACCAGCATGAAGTCATTGTCATGTGCTTATCTTTAAGAACATGTGAACTCATAAAAATGCTTAAGGACTATCAGATTACGTTCTATCTCTAGGTGGGGTGTTGCAAAATACTCTTCTTAAAAGTATGTCACTGGCATTGTGCATTACTGACTAACACCAGCATTTACGTAGAAAAGGGACGTTGGAGGCCTCTCCTTGCAGTGGAATCAGGGCTAAAAACTGAAATGACTCAATGAAATGACACTTATCAGTGTGTCCTGCAAAAGGAAGTCAGTCAAAACTATTCAAAAGCAATATCAGTTCTAAACTAGAAATTCCAGTGCTAGTGACCCAACACATCAGGGGAAAAAAAAACTACACAGACACGTTCACAAATACAAACTTTATTAACAGCTGGGAAAACCAGAAGGTGTACTACCAGCACTGATATATAATCTCGTCAAACGTCAGTACTTTCCAGGTTTGGTGAAACTAAAGCCAACAGTCTCAGGGGAGGTCTGAGAGAATCTGAATCCAACCAAAAACAAAATTGCCGAATCCACTAAGACGTGCGGGGGTTTCCATAGCTACTGGGTTCCAGGGGGCTTCTTTGGGCGCTATGGTAACGTTTGTTGACTAAAATGGCACAAGGAGTGCGGAGGTCCCCTAAGGCACTGGCTGGACTGTGCCAGCAAAAGGTGGGCACAAATGCCGGCTAACCTGGGCTCAACTGGATGGGTGCCAAGGCAGCTGTGAGAGGGCACCCCCTAGCTGTAGCAGAGTGTCGGGGGAAAAAAAAGGGCTGCAAACTCATTAGCTGAATTACACCCTCTGGTGTATATAAAATGCCTCCCCCTGCCCCAAATGAGGTGGTCAAGTCCCGGGTTATACCCCTGATTCTGACCACCCTCCCCCCCACTGAGACGTCCTAAGGGTCCACGGGGCAGGCAGACTGGGTCAGTCCCACACTGTGGTGGAACACCTGGTGGTCCCAGCCCACCGTGGTCAGCGTGTCAGCCCCCCCAGGGGCCCAGCTCACACCTCGCACGAAGTCTTGGTGCTGCCGGTTCCGGAAGCTTCAGAAAGAGACAGAAAGGCTGGTATGAGACTGGGAGCGAGCCCACACATACAGAGGCACAAAACCCAAAACTGCATGGATTTAAGTAACAGAATACATTTATTGTCACTGCACGGGTACAACGAGATTTAGTTTACAGCTTCCGTACTCGATGCTATTACTGATGCTACACTAAAAGTAGAGCACAAAGACAGAAATGGCAGTAAGTAACAATGAAAGCAGCATCAGAACCAGTACAGTACAAAAAAAGGCTAATAGTATTAGCAGATGGTGTGGACAGTATAAACAGTAAATAATATAAACGCTACTGACTGAATGAAGAGTGTCAATAATGAAGTATTAGTAAAGTGTCCAGCGGTATGAAGAATTAAGTTGTGTAATTAGCCCTCCAATGCTATGGGGGCACTTCTTCAAAACGCACAGATCGAAAGGCCGGCACTTACACTTCTGAAACCTGGGAGTCCATCACTGCTACGGAACAGTCGTCACTGATGGAGGCCAGCAAGGGGACACTGTACCAGAGGAGACGTCAAAATTGTTACATCAACAAGCACAGCGGGCTTTTGGCTAATGAGCTTCCAACGGACACATCCAACCTCATGAATATCCATGAGCTCCCGATCAATCCAACAGCCTCACTGCCAAAGCTGATGGCGCTTTTCCGCCAGCACCAAGAACGGAGCTGTACCAGAACCGTACCGGGAACTGGCCCTTTTCCATTGCAAATTAGCAAGCCGTACCCAACCCCAACCCCAACCCGTGCTGACATGTTCCTGTTTAATAGTAGGACCGAAAGAGTGACCAATCTGAGCTATTGAGTAGTATCACACATTGTGATGAATTCCCACAAACTCGTAACTTGAAAATGTCCAACCACCTGAACGGAACGGATTCGTATATGCAAATTTACGCAAGCAAATTCTAATTCCACTAGCGTTTGATACCTGCATAATACACCCAAGTCTCACAGACATGCTAGCAGAAATTAGCACATAATAAATCATGATGTACACCGTGTGAACAGTAAACAAGTTTCTCTTAGGTTTTACGTCACCGTCACTCCAAACCCAGCTACTGAGCCGACCCTTCTGCAGTGGAAAACAGAAGCGAGCTGGAGTTGCTCTGAAACTAGTGTCTCTTTGCAGTAAGGATCGAGTATGGCTCGGTTCCTGTATGCCAGTGGAAAAGCGCCATGAACACAGACTGGGTACCAGTTCCAATTCATAGGCAACACGTGAATTTTTATTCCCAGCAGTAATGGTGTTTGAACGGAACAAAGTGTATGTAAGCCTTCAACGTCAATCTGAACATTAGACCAATGGCATCCTATCGTTTGCCCGACCATCCTGAACTATGGTACCAGCTCACCTGTGCGTAGAAAAAGCCAGGCCCATAACACTACGGTCATGGGTGTTTAGTGTCTGGACACGCTCTCCTTGCACATCCCTCAGAGTCACCCGCCCAAGCACATCACCTGAGTGAGAAAATGACAAAACATGACAATAATGGTTATCATGGCTATCCTCGCAAGATTTCAGCTCTTATGGTTATAGCTGGAGGTATAGATCGTAAGCTTTGCCACAATACGATTCCATTTTGCTAGGCAGCGATTCAATCTGGCAATATTAGAAATGTTACTGCGATACAATTCGACATGATCAATATTTTCAATACAGTAAACATAAGCTGATTGTAGTGGAATGTATTTCAGCTCAAAAAGACAAAAATAAATTCAATTTTTAACAATAGAATATGTTGAAAAATCTATACAAAGTACTTTAAAATAAAAAGTCTCAAACAAGAATACAAGAAACATTGTCTTACTGTATTTATATTTTATATTGTATAGCTTACTCTGACAACATAGAAACATACATGTACTGAGCTACATCAAATGGAATGGAATGCATTGACCTCTTCTCTGTACTAAGGAGTGTGTAGATTTTTATTTATTTTATTTTTTTCACAAAATATTTTCAGATTTTTTTTTAGCAGCGTTTCGGCAAATTGTCATAGTTTAATCACATGAATTGATACTTGGTAACAGACGATTAAGTCAAATCATGGCCTTAATCAACATATTGATTAAAATTGATGAATTGTTACATGCCTAGTTATAGGCCAACCAGGGACATCTCAATGCAGTGCCCCTGCAATGGTGGAAAATCCAGGTTCAGAAAGTACAAATCAAGACCAAGATTTGCCGTTTCAACCAACCAGCTTGGTCTGGATTTGTACTTTCTGAACCTGAAGCCATGCAATTAGGTGAACTGGCATCTCTGAAGCACCCATCGTGTGTGGCTATGAGTGCATGCTTCTCATAACAGACTCACACCCCCCCAGCTAGGGTGTACCAGGGCCCTCACATTGCTCCCCAGTGACCCGGTACCAGAAAAGCTGAAAGGGTATAGAAGAGCAGACCCACAGTCCTCAGCTGGATCCCTTACCGTAGGCGAAGATGTTGCTGTGCTCTGGGTGCCAGGCTAGCGATGTGGCACAGCAGCTGGGGGACACCACATCTGGAACAGGACCAGAACAATTACATCACACGCCTCCGTAACAGTAAATACTTCCACCTATTTACCTTTGGTTGGCCATCTACTCTGCAGCAAATACTGCATACAGTGTACAAGACAAACCTCACCAGCATGTCTGAATGACTGCAGCATCCTCTATGCCCCACTCATGCAAAGCCAAATCCTCAAAGTGGCTCCTCTTACCTAGACGGGTGGCTGGCTGGGGTTTCCTCCTGTCCCAAAGCAGGAGACGACCATCCTGCGGGATGGGAGACGTAAGGAGGGAGAATGAGGAATCTGGCAACCCCACAACTAAGAGAATTAACAATTAATATAATTAGCAAGCCAGTGTGGTGGGAGGTGTTCTCCTACCTGACCACAGGAGAGGAACAGGGCCTCGTCAAGAGGACTGCAGGACACACGGCTGACAGTGCTTGAGTGACCTGTAGTTCAGGGAGGAGGAGGAGGAAAATCAAGGAGGTACAGGGTATGTACCCAGGAGCAAGAGGGGCTTGCACTGCACAAGTCACAAAGTCACTGCACACAGGTTACTGAGCGAGCAGACTGCCACACGACGACTCACTGACCATTATAGGTGTTGACCACCGTCTCCTGATTCAGGTCCCAGACCTTAATGCTGCCAAAATAACAGACAAATCCAAGTCGGAGGGCCACACTGCAGCACAAGCTACTCCACAGCCAGTTCACTGCACAGTCTGCAAGTCCTCCAATTCAAATGACCTCCCTGCCACTGCACGTCCGGCTAGGAATGCGAACTGCCAGGTACACGCAGCTAAGTGACACTGTACAGATCCAGAATGCCAGAAAAATGTCTCTGATGACACCACAGAGAGGTTACACCTACCAGGTGTCCATGCTGCCGCTGACTGCCATGACCCCCCCGGCGGTGGGGCTGACACAGGTGACAACGTCATCGTGCTCATGGAGGCTGAACTTGCTCACTATCAGCCTGCCATCTTCTGCCAGTTCCCACAGTTCCACAGCACCTAGACACACACCAGTACAGTGGAAACTTAAACACTAAATATTAAACAACTAACTAAATAAGCTTTTCAAATCTTCCAAACATTTCAAAATATCATTCCTTTTATAACATTTTTTCCCCAGTCTGTCGTGTGAATAAAATTATGTAGCATTAAAAAGGTCAATAATGAAAGGATCCACAATCACATCAAAATGCAAACTGCACCTATAAGCAGGAGGGAATCGGAGATGAAATCTCACCTGAATCTGAGGCCACCAGGATGCCGCGCTCTGACACCCACCTGGCCTCCGAGATGCCGGACTCTGTCTGCACGCCTGCACTACAGCGGTCCTCACTGGGACACTGCGTGGGGTCCCGATACACCCAAATGGAGCCTGACCAACACCTACCGGAGAGGCTGGAAGCGCCCATCAACAGGGTGCCATCTTCGAGGGAAAACAATTCATTTTAAGAGCCTACCGACACTGTAAATTGAGCGCGTATTCATATAAAATACGATCAAACGAACAGCCATTCCACAGAAGCATAATAGGCGTCTTTAGTTTAGGAAGCAGATTAAATGTAAATATAAAAACCTTAGGCGGTACTCTGCTGGTACACTGTTTAAAATGTATGCTATTGCATAAAGAACAGTATTCGCTAAACAAATTTCCCCTGAAGCAACGGCGTTCCTAAGTATTGAAAAAGTCAGTGGCCAAATCAAGTTTACCTGGGGCTTGACTTTTATTTATTTATTTGAATGAAGACTGGCATCGGGGCTATAGCCCCCAGTGATCGGACCTAACGTGGCTCATGCACTTTAGTACACGTCGTTAAAACATTAGGTTATTTGACCCGGCAAGTAAGACATGCTTTTTGGGAGGGAGTACCACTATGATAACCGGCGGGAAATCCTTAATATCGCTCAATAATACTTCATCGGACTTTGCTATGAAACAACTATTACAAACGAAACGAACGAATGGTCAACTTTTGATACGCAATTCTTTCTGTAATAACAATAATGTAACGTAGAACATGCTTTAATCTGCTGCAATCGACTCAACCAACTAGCAGGTGCATTGGCTTACCTTTCCTATAATGCACAGACTCGAGGTGCTTCTCCATGCAGGCCGGGGCATTCGGAGGAATGTTCCAGCGATTTTCTTTAGTCATTCTAGTCGCACTTTGCATCAAGGCACCTTGCCGATTCGGTAGCTTGAAATCCTCCCTCGGCTGTTTTGATGGCTATTCGACAACTATAGTGCAACAAGAAAAATGTTAACAAAGCACCACATAAATACCTTTTGTCAACACGTAATCCCCTCCAGTGCATGCGATGCTTTAGTTTTCCGACCTGGTGTAATCTCCGTAAATGAATTAACCGGTGAACAGCGACGTTCCTCATCCACCACGTGTCTTGTTGCAGTTTACTTCCGCTTCCGGTTCCTACTTGGATCTATTATCATCAGTAGCGTCCGATATCTGTTGCATGTTCCATACCTTCTGTCGGTGTTACAGTATAATGTCTATATATGAAACAGGAAGTCAGTTCAAATTGAGAGATGTCTGTATAATAACTGCGATAAAATGCATAATCTGTAACCCGGAAATTGAAATACAGTAGCCATATTAAATGTCGTTCTAATGCCTTAATAATAATCTGACTAAACCAACTGTATAATGCAACGACCTATCATCGCTTATCCTGGTCAGGCTCCTTGGACTACGGGAGCAAACGTGACACGGGAAGAACATGCACACACACCATGCACTGTGTTGACCTCCCTCCCCCCTATTGCTACAGGGATTCTCTGACCCTTCCTTCTTCTTCGTTATGGAGCATTTGCCAAATAAAGCAAAAAGCTAATTTAAAAAAATAATAATTTTAAAAGATTATAGTGGCATGTGCCTCGTGTCTGTCCTTGAATAGTTAATTGTAATTTTATTAATAGTAAAAAATATATATTCTTATTGTGTGTTTAAGAAGTAGAAATTAGCTCACACCATGTTTTATCAATTCAAATAGATACACCCCTGATACAAGACTTAATTAAGCCTAGAAATCTGTGTTAAAGCAGTGTTTCTTTTTGAAAATGTAATTGCTTGTCAAAGGATCAGGCAGGGAAATGAGTACGCGAACTCTAACTATAAAGTGATAAAGCGAAACTGAAAATGACATCATTTCATGCTGAGCTACATGACTCCTGAATGAAGTACAACGGGCGCAACTTTCGCTGTGTTCTTGATCCAGTGCCACTGCTAGGTGCCAGGCCAGCTATCCCTAAGGTAACCAGGACCTTGTTTTCTCTGACACCTTTTCACATGTGACATTGGACACCCAGGTGGTGACAGTTTCTAGGTGGATAAAACGTCACAAGTGAAGCTAATTAACGGTGCCGTCATCCTACTACGCCGTTCCGGAACATCAACCATGCAGACTTTCATGTGGGATTAGTTAAAATGTCAATGGTCGGAGTGCGACAATATTTAAAAGAAAAGAAAAAGGTTTTTGTGCACCACTAGGGAGCTTTAGGTAAATCACTTCGCGTTTGGGCTGATTTTGTACTATAATGACCAAAACCGCGCAAATTTCTTAAAAAGGACAATATATTGAAAAGAAAACGAAAGTACGTAATAAGCATATAGGGCGTAAGAAATGCCGTGAACCGCACAAGTATTAAGGTAAGATTACTGTAATGGAAAAGCTGTGGTTATATTCGACATTCTGTTTTCCGGCTGTAATTTCTTTTAACAAAAGCAAGCCAGGCGGTTTTTAACTATAGACTTTTGATGTGCAGTATACAGTGTCGTGGCTTATGTGGTATATTCGCGCCTATCTATATATATCTTAAGGAGATGTGTGATGGCCGATTCGTCAGTTTTGGAAAAGTGAAATAAAATTGTAAATAATCAGAATTGACCATGCACACACTTCAAGTTGCGTAAAATATAATATTAGAAGAGCAGGCTCTTTTCATAAGAGATTCAATTTTATATTTATAGGATGCTACATTATAACTGCATGTATGCATGTTTGTCCTTTTACAAACATGCGCGATAAGTCATTTCCTCCATTGGTGTATGTCGTTACTTAATTGGCTCTCCAAACTTGACGGATCTGCCTCCGCCTTCTGCAACAATAACTATTGCGTTCGTTTTATACTGGTGCGCACAATAGTGCGTATACGCTTGTCACCAGTTAACAGGATCACCACTTAAACCATAAAGCAACACACATACACCTATTATTGCGTTTCCATAGGTGTGTAAAATCTTGTTAATAGCTACGACTTCAGCTGTAACGAGACTTTTTTTCTTAGATTACGTTAGTACCCATCTTTGTTAATTACACTGTGTTCATTAAATGTGCAATTGGACAATAAATAAATGATCGGATAACTAAAAGTAAATGAGACCAACACGTCCATTAGTGTGCTTTGAGCAGTAGCTTATGGGGGGCACAATGCACACCCCTTGGATTTCTGTACATATTTATTAAGAATCATACATCTATATTCTGTTTCCATACATAGCCTACTTATTAAGACGGACAGTGCAAGCAATAAATGCATTACCGTGTTGACCCGAATATAAGACGGGTATTTTTTTCCTCAAACTACTCTGAATAAGTGATGTCGCCTTATATTCGGGTGAAAATTTAGCAAGCTGTGCAATTTTAATGACTGCTCCTTTTCAGAATTATCTACTGTATGTTTAACATTAGTTTAAATTAAAGGGTACGGCCGCTACTTTTGCATGAGCTCTGCAAGCGCTCTTCACGCAATCATTTTCATCCTTGAGGTTTAAATTACTGATGAATATACGTGTTTGTGGGAAATTGATTCATTTTGAACTATTTTTTTCTTTAAAAATACTGCAATATTTATTGCAGAAATTGATATTTTCCAATGTCATACAGCCTAATTAAGAAATACCTTCTACTAGGAGATATCTAACACACAATGCAGTTTTCAGCATGGGGCAGTAAAGTGATATATAGCAGTGGGAAGTATGATGTGGAACAGCGGTTAGAATACAGAGGATAATGCAGTGTGAAGTACTTAGGGCCCGAAAAGTAAATAATGCAGACAGATCAAGTAAAATGTGATTTTTGCAGTGCACTGTCTGTGAGAGTGCACACATCCTGCATTTTCAGATCTGGTAATCCTATAGATTTGTATTAATATTTGCCTAAATAGCCTATTCATTGAGCTAAAGGATGAAAAAATGATGTAGTATGTCTAAAACAAAATAAGACACTCATGTCAAGTACATTAAGCAGTGCACTGTACGTGGGACGAAAGCACTGCAGCTGAATTTTTAGATAATGTATTTCTATAACATTTAACATATAACATGCATTACCAACTCCTGGAATCCCTGGCCAATATGTGAATGGAAGTCTGTTAGAGATGCATACAGTGCCGGACATAGCTCCACTTTCCCGTGTGCCGTGGTGTCTTCAGAGGCTCATGCGAGACTCACACCCTGCAGCATGGTGAACACACTGCTGCCCCTGTAAGGAGTCGCTGGGGATGAGGAGGAGGAGAAGGAGGCCGCTGCCTCTGGGAGGAGTCTTTCTGAGGCACATGAGGAAGAAGGAGCCGAGTCAGTCATGAGCTCTGTGGAGGCCACTGAGGAGACGAGCCCTGAGAGGTGAGAGTGCACCATCGTAGTGTGTTACACATCTCTGGCCAGTGTTATGAATTAGCAGACAATTAAATCTTGAGACGCAATAAGTAATTTTTAAGCATTTTGACTCTGCTGTTCTGTATAGCAGGGTTTCACAGTTCCGGTCCTGGAGGGCAGAATCCAACACAGTTTGCAGATTTCCTTGTTGAAACACATCTACAGAACTTGGCAATTAGCTGATTTAGGATGTGTTTGAGCAAATCTGCAAACCGGAGCTGGTGAACCCTGCTCTATTTAATTTATACTTAATGCATTGTACCAGAAGCTTACATTATTCTTAGCTTAACCTTGTTAAAACTGGAATACCAGTCTTTTGCAATGTTCTCTTTACAGGGTCCAGCTGAAGAGAGCCGTGTCACCTGTGCCCAGCTGTCTGTCCATGAAAAGTGACGAATCATTACCTCGGTCAATCACCTTCGAAGAGACATGTGATCCAATGTACTTCAGTTCTGGTTTACCTTGTTTTCTGTCCTCCTTTCATGTGAGGTGTACCTCAGTTTAATGAGGAGAGGTTAAGTGGATTGTTTGTGTCCACATTCTGATTCTAGGGTCCAAATTAAGAGAGCAGACTCACCCAGCTGTCTGTCCATGAAAAGTGACGAATCATTACCTCGGTCAATCACCTTCGAAGAGACATGTGATCCAATGTACTTCAGTTCTGGTTTACCTTGTTTTCTGTCCTCCTTTCATGTGAGGTGTAC